TTTTGATTTGATTAAACATAAAAATCAACCACTAAAATAAAAAAAAAATAATAATAATTACCTTTAGAGTTGCTATCGTTCGAGTGTAAAATACTTGGTCTCTTCAAAGGATCCCACTACACGCAATAAAGCGACATTAATTATGAAAATTAACTGAAGACTAGCAAAACAGACTGAATTATTTTTTCTTGTACATGTTTTTTTATACTATTTCAAATAAATGAGCTATTATACATTTTTTCAAGTTTAATTAAATTGTTAATTGATTTCAGTTTTCAATACGTACAATTAAGAAAAATAAGTTAATTATAGAATATTTTTTATACTATCCAAGATGTTACAATAAGTTTATAGAAACAAAGTTTACAATCGTCGGCTTCTTTTTTATTTTATTAATATTATTAATGAAATGTTGGTTTGGTGGTAGAGGTAAATAGCCATAAAATGACGCCCGAACCCCAAATGGATATTCATCACAGGTTACTGCCCCATATGTAGTCTTAAAATCACCTGTCAAGATATGGGGGAGATGGTGATTTTTCTGTAAAATGTTTTCCGAGATAGAATTTAAAGAAAAAATCAGCCAATACCATACATAAACAATACCATATTTACCAAAGAAAAAATCATAAATAAATTTTATTTCAAGATATGTCAGAGTAATATATTGTTATATGTCATTCATTAGAACCGTGATGATTATCACAATGTTTTTTATTAACTATACAAATATCTCTAAGGTACATTAATCCGTCACCGGCATATTAGAATTGTGTAAAAAAAGAAAAAAACTGTTTCATAACAACTTTTGGACCAATATTTTGGAAGTTATTAACATTTTATAGGGATGGCCGAAGGTAAGACATGGGACTAACAAGTTATTTTATTACTAGTCATTTTCCAGCCGCACTCATCCTCTTGTCTAAGTATTAAAGTGTAATATATTACACTATACATAATTTTATTATTTCTTTCTCTTAAATATCGGACATTATTTTGATTTAAATTGATACGATCGAATGTATAAATTAAATTTATGCATTTATAAAGATGCATGTGTGTTGATCCGTATTATGCCAAAATACACATTATTTTTGAACAAAAACCAAAATCATTTCAGTTTTTTGAATATCTTTTCCGTATTTAGTAAGTTAATTGACTTATCGGTCGAGTTTTTTTTTAAGAATTTGTAAGGATTTCACGTACCTATGATTACACAACATAAAAATTTTCTTATGCAAGGAGGATATTCTATTGTTGATATTTTCTCAAATATCATCTAACTTTTTCACGACCAATGGAATCTGATACTATCTCGCAGGATTTTCTAGTAAATGTTTTCCTTTCTATAACAACATTATAAAGTCCAGAAATATCAATTTCAATATCGTAATAACAAATTTTTTCACTATACAATGTCGTATAGTACTCTTAATGAGTTCCTCGTATGTCACTAGAAATTTTTCTAACAAATGTATGTAATAAGTTTTCCACATAAATTATTGCTTGTATTTCAACAATACCAATTTTTTTTCGTAAAACTTACATAAATCGATCGAATCAATATCGATTGATTTTATATGATCCCTTTTGGGAATCATAAAAAAGTTCCTATCATTGTTAACAAGTTATGTGTTAATGATTTCATACGTAACGTTTACAGAAAAATCGAAGGCAATTTTCTAAGATATATTCAGCTTATGAATGTGTTGACACTTTCATGGATTGTCATATTATTTGAAAAGCTTGATGATTTATCCATATTTGCAGTTGATTGCTGACGTTTCGGACTCATTGCAGAGTCTACCTTCAGAGCGATAGTTACTGCTCGGTGGCTGAAACTATACTGGCGGCTTATCTTGTTATCAGTCTGTTTTTATACGTTGGTTGTTTATCATATCAGTTGTTTACCATATCAGTTGTTTACCATATCGGTTGTTTATCATATCAGTTGTTTACCATATCAGTTGTTTACCATATCGGTTGTTTATCATATCTGTTTATGACTTATGTTGTTTACGGTATCTTGTTTTTGCTGATGTTTTTGTTGACGACTTTGTTTTTCATTATTGTTGTTTTTGACATTCTTGGCATTTTGGTCTTCCTTTTCTGCACCGACAGTTTTCCATTACGTTGATAGTAACTTTTTCTTGTATTGAACTGTTTTCAGTGTTGTTAGTTGATTTTCTTTTTGCCTCTTTGTACATTCGTTTACCAAAATGAGTTTCTTTGTTTAGTATTTTTACTTTATTATCGCAGTATAGTTTCAGTCACCGAGTAGTAAATATCGCTTCGAAGATGGACTCTGCAATGAGTCCAAAACGTCAGCAATCAACTGCAAACATGAATAAATCATCAAGCTTTTCAAATTATGACAATAATATGACAATTCATGAAAGTTCAACTAACAACACTGAAAACAGTTCAATACAAGAAAAAGTTACTATCAACGTAATGGAAAACTGTCGGTGCAGAAAAGGAAGACCAAAATGCCAAGAATGTCAAAAACAACAATAATGAAAAACAAAGTCGTCAACAAAAACATCAGCAAAAACAAGATACCGTAAACAACATAAGTCATAAACAGATATGATAAACAACCGATATGGTAAACAACTGATATGATAAACAACTAACGTATAAAAACAGACTGATAACAAGATAAGCCGCCAGTATAGTTTCAGCCACCGAGCAGTAACTATCGCTCTGAAGGTAGACTCTGCAATGAGTCCGAAACGTCAGCAATCAACTGCAAATATGGATAAATCATCAAGCTTTTCAAATAATATGACAATCCATGAAAGTGTCAACACATTCATAAGCTGAATATATCTTAGAAAATTGCCTTCGATTTTTCTGTAAACGTTACGTATGAAATCATTAACACATAACTTGTTAACAATGATAGGAACTTTTTTATGATTCCCAAAAGGGATCATATAAAATCAATCGATATTGNAATGTTTATGAAAATTTCACTAGTGACAAATATATTTTTCTCGAAATAAACAGTCAATTAAGTATTTTATACTCGCTGAAAGATGAGAAAGAGATGAAGGAGATTCGTTGCTCTATGCGCATAAGTAGATATTGCATGACTCAGCCTACAAAAATTTCAACAGCACACCTTAGTTAAAAATATTTTTATTTGTTTTAAATATAAGCCCTAGTTACTTTATTTAATTATTCTAGCCTGCAATTGATTTACTATACAGGGTTATGTGAAAACAAAACAAACGTTTATTTATGTATTCATTATTATGAAATATTTTAAAAACTTTTGAATATATAAATACATTATATTATAAAACGATTCGATGTGATTGAACTCAAAGTTATATCTAAAAGGCGCAACACTTTTAAAAGTTAAGAAGGAAAAAGTGTTATTGGTATATATAAATAACTATTTATAAATCCTTATTGTGGTTCAGTTATTTAATATTTGACTGTCCTAAGGATTATATGTATGTATCAGTATTTATATTGTTTTAAGTAATTATAATAAAATATGATGCAACTTTACTCCAAGAAAAATGCTTAATGTTATATTTGAACTCTTTCAAAGATTTGCTACAAAAGAAAAAAAACATTTTAAAATTATTTAATTAATAGAAAATAAGTTTAGTACAATTACATATATATTAAATATCAAGATAAGGTTAATAACATAACTAAAACTCGGACATATCGATTACTGTAACTTTATTGAAATTCTTTTAAAACTTTAAAATTTAAACGCTTGTAGACGTTATTACTACAGCATTTATTTTTACTCAAGTTATAATCAGAACATTTACAAAGTCAAACTTTGATAAAACTTTTTTATTACGACAGATATACTAGGAAATTAAAGGAAATGTTGAACTTTTCACCTATGTTATTGTTAATAGTAATTTTACAAGCTCCTAGCCAAATTTCAATTTAAACAATAACAAATTATACCAAAATTCATTTTTTAATGATATCAACTTCAAACTTCAAAGTTGAACTTAAAAAAATGTTATTGTAAAAATTTCAACTTATTTTTTATACATGTTTGTAAAAATCAACTTCAATGGACAAAAATAGTATAAACGTAATATTTATACCATTATTTTTCACAGACATTTTTAAGATATCAAAAATAAAAATTTAATAAATAAATTGATAACATTTATTTATTTAAAAAAAATTGATCTGAAAAATTATTCATTTTTTAGTAATAAATTATTATTTTAAAAACTAAAGTTTATAGAAATTTTATTTTAAATCAGTGCAAAAATTAATTTTTGAAAAATATTTTTATATTTAATGATTAAAACAGTTTTCATTTTGTTNATTTTTATATCTAATGATTAAAACAGTTTTCATTTTGTTGTCATTTTTGCTCTTCAAAAATTAATTATACCTATCCATTTCATTACAACGGTTAATCAAAATATGGAAAGTTCCAACACTTTACAATACTACTACTGCTACTAGATATATTAAATATGCCTAACTTTGTGTAAATTATATTTTATTGTTTTTTTATATGTTGTAACAATATCAGAAAACTTACAATTGGAAGAAGTGTCATCACAATATTGATAATTTTAAATTAGCAGTAAAATATATAATTATTATTAGTAAAATATATTTTATCAAATGCAGACTTCGTAAATATTCTTATGTTAACTTGAGTTTAAATAACTGCTAACGTTGTAGTAACGCTTATTAACATTTAATTTTGAGTTTAAATTTAAAGTTTATTTAAAGAATACAATTATGATTCCAGTAATCTATATATTCGAGTTTTAGTTATGTTATTAACCTTATCTTGGTATTTAATAAATGCTTAATTGCGTCAGGTTATTTTTCTATAACATAAATAATTTTTAACGTTTTTTACTTTTATTGGAAATCTTTGAAAGAA